ACGTATTCAATATTCAGGTTAACTTCTCAATTCTCACATTCGTTAATTTTCACTAAATTTGATGAAACAGAAGATAGTCATTTTCGTTTACGAATTACTAAAAGAACATATGTCCCTTTATCTATTCCGTGTGCCCTTGCATTCACAACCCTACTTTAGAACAAAATCATCTACAACAGAAATATGTTATTATTATTGTTATTATTATTATTATTATTATTATTATTATTATTATTATTATTATTATTATTATTATTATTATTATTATTATTATTATTATTATTATTATTATTATTATTATTATTGTTATTACCATCATCATTATCACTATTATTTCCATTATCATTGTTATTACTTTATATATTGTTACTGCTGTTGTTGAAGTTGTTTTTATGATTTTTCATCTTATTATTATTATCATCATTATTGGTATCATTATTATTATTATTATTATTACTATTATTATCATTATTATTATTATTATTATCATAATTCTTATTTTCATTATCATTATCAGTAATATCATTATTATCATACGTGTGTGTATCTGTGTGTTTGTATATGTGCGTACGTGTGCGTGTGTGTCTGCACGTGTGTTTTGTGTGTATAAATGTGTATTTATGTATTTGTGTGTGTATATGCCCATGAGTGTGACATGACTGAATGAGAATTGAAAAAGGACTTATTGATATGTAACCATAACAGACCAACCAACAAAATGTACAAACCAGAACAAATGAACAAGAATCCCTCACGACGAGAGTGAAAAGAACAGCTGTTCTGCGATTTCTTCACCGGACCAAGAAAGTGAGAGCGAGAACTTTTATAAACCAAGGCTACTGGTGATAATACTTATCCTTTTTAGAGTTAGTTTAGTTGAGTGATTTTTACTTCATAAGTGCAAATAAACTTTTGTTATATGTTTCCATATCTTATTTATTCCTCCTGGCTAACAAACTGTACAGGCATACATGGGATCATAAAGATAATGATAATGATGATGATAATGATAACAATATCAGTAATGATAGTGATAATCATAATGATAATAGTAATAATGATGATGATAATGGCAATCATAATAGCAATAATAATAATAATGGTAATATTGATAAAGACAATGATAATAATGATAATGCCAGTAATGACAATAATAAAAATGATAATAGAGATGATGACAATGAGGGTAAGAATTATGATAATAAGATAATAATATTGACGATGATAATAATGAAATGATAATAGTAATGATGATAATAATAATAGTAATAAAGATAAAAAATAATAATAATGATATAACAATGATAGTAATGTTGATGATAGCAATGATAATAACAAATATAACAACATCAACAACAATAGTAATAATAATGATAATAATAACAATGGTAATAATACTAATGATAAAAAATAATAATTGAAATAATGATAATTATGATAATAATAATGTAATGAATAATAATAATAATAATAATAATAAATAATAATAATAATATAATAATAATAATAATAATAATAATAATAAATATAATAATAATAATATAATATAATAATAATAATAATAATAATGATAATAACAGTAACAATAAAAATAATAATAGTAATAATAATGATAATTATGAATTTATTATAATAACAAAAACGGTAATAATGATGATGATTATGAAAATTAAAATAATTATGATAATAAGAATAGGGATAATAATAATGAGGATAATAACAATTATAATTATAACAATGACAATGATACAATAACAGTAATAATCATAAAAAAACTAATAAAAATAAAAATAAAAATAGTAATCATAACTATAATAATGATAATAATGATGGTATTAATGATACTACTACTACTACTACTACTACTACTACTACAATAATAATGATAATCATAATAATAATAGTAATGAAATAAATAATAATTATAAAAAAGGTAATAGTAACAATGATATTGATGAATATGATAAAGATAATGATAGTAATATTATCATGATAATCATGATAATAACTAGAATAATAACAATGCTAATAATAATGATAATAGTAATAACTGGCAGTAGCAGCGATAATAGTTATAGTTAAAATATCAAGTATACTAATAGTAGCATAGTAGTTTTAATGGTAAGAACAACAACAGTAAATATAATATAAACAATAATAATAATAATAACGATGATGATGATGATGATGATGATGATGATGATGATGATGAGGATGATCATTATAATGATATTAATAATAATAATATAATATATAATAATAATAATAAAATAATAATAATATAATATAATAATAATAATAATATAATAATAATAATAATAATAATAATAATGATAATAACAATAACAACAATAGCAATAAAAATATGAATGGTAATAATTATTACGATAATAATAATGATTGTTATAATGATAAAAACGATAACAATGAAAGTACTGACAATAAGATAGTATGACACTCTGATAATAATGATAAAATAATAATGAAAAAAAAAATGATGGGAACAATAATAATAATAATAATGATAGTAACAATAATAAGAACAATGATAATAAGGACAATAATAATTATGATAATGATAGTGATAATAACAAGAATAACAAGGACATCAACACTCAAAACATTAATAATATCAATAAATGACAATATCAACAACAAGATGAACAATAACGATATACCACAGCTATCCAAAATGTTATTAAGAAGATATGAATTTCAAAATATTTATTGCAAATCTTCTTTATTAAATGCCAGGTGTCTCATATTAACGCTTTCACTAGAAAGTTATTTCTCATCTACTGTCGTTTTAAGTCTGAATAGCTTTTTTTTTCACTGCAACAAGGGCTTTTTTAATGTATATATTTGTGGACTCTTATGGACAATATCTGATGGAAATTGCAATGCATCATTTGAAGGGCAATAGCGTGTCCTCTGTGGTGCAATGGGAACACATACGGATACGGCACAGGTGGGTGTACCGTGAGCGTTGAATTGCATTTGAATCTACTTTGTTTATCCAGTCCACTCACTTCTCCCCCCCCCCTCTCGCTCTCTGTCTCTCACTCCTCCTTCCTCCCCCACCTCTGTCTGCTCTGTCTCTGTCTGTCTCTGTCTGTCTGTCTGTTCTCTCTCCTCTCTCTCTCTCTCTCTCTTCTCTCTCCTCTCTCTCTCTCTTTCTCTTCTCTCTCTCTCTCTCTCTCTCTCTCCTCTCTCCTCCTCTCCTCTCTCTCTCTCTCTCTCTCTCTCTCTCTCTCTCTCTCTCTCTCTCTCTCTCTCTCTCTCTCTCTCTCTCTCTCTCTCCCTCTTTCTCTCTCTCTCTCACTCATCATCCCCCCTCTCCCTCTCTCTCTCTCTCTCTTCTCTCTCTCTTCTCTCTCTCTCTCTCTCTCTCTCTCTCTCTCTCTCTCTCTCCTCCCCTCTCTCTCTCTCTATCTATCTCTCTTCCCCCCCTCCTCTCTCCACCCCCTCTCTCTCTCTCTCTTTCTATTGTCTCTCGCTCCTTTCCCTCCTCCCCTCTCTCTCCCTCACATACAGTATATGATATTATCCGAATTCCTCATCTAGCTAATAGACACTCATTACCGAAAGCGGGTTTATCGTAACATTTTAATTATCCAATTAAGGGAAACTACATAACACGAACTAGCTATAACAATGAAAAAAAAAAACAACAACAAACAGTTTTTTTTATAACAAATTAAATAAAGGTAGAGCAGAACTAAGAGATTTCAATTTGACTCAGAATTCATGAAATCCGCTCTCGGGATGTCAAAAGGAAAAAGGAAATGAAATAATAATAATAATAATAATAATAATAATGGTAATAATAATAATAATAATAATAATAATAAATAATGATAATTATTATCATTATTTTCATTATTATAATTATCATTATTGTTATTATCATTATCATTAATTTCATTATTTTAATTATCATTATTGTTATTATCATTATCATTATTTCCATTACTGTTTCTGTTATTATTGTTATCATTATGATTACTCTTAAATATAATTACTGTTAGTATTAT